GCTCGGGGTGCCTGGGCCCGGGCGCCGAAGGGCGCCGGGGCAGCGCCCGAAAACGGTGAGGGGCCTCAGCCTGGCGGGGTGGGTCCCGCCGTGCCCACATCCGCCTTCGCATTTGCACACAGGGGGTGGGTCCGTGTGGACACCGCGCTGGCGGGCAGGCCAACCCAAGTGTCTTGGTGGCTGCTGGCAGGAGTGGGACTCACCACACACCGGCCAGAGCCACCGACAGGCGCCTCCGGACGCCGGGCCGCCGCCATTCGGGCAGCAGGCGGCCTGCAGCCACGGCTGCCCAGTTTCCGCGGCCGGCGCGCGTTGTCCCCCGCCCGGCGGGTCGTCGGCGATCTGGCCCGCAGCCGGGCCGCCGCCGAACGGGCCCGTCACGTGCCAGCGTAGAAACCATGGCGGAGTGCCGGCGAACGTGTGTCCATCGCCGGGCGCCGCGCTCCCGGCCGGCAAAAAAGGGGGCCCATCTTGCCCGGTGCAGGGGGCGGGGGGGGGCCACCCCGCCGGCACGTCGCCGACCAAGGGAGGCTGTGATTGTTGGGCGCGCGTCGCCCGCCGGGCCGCGAGCAGTGCCCGGCCAGCGCCCGAGCATTTCCCCTCCCCCGTGAACCCTCCCCCCCCCCCCCCTCCCGTCTTGCTGCTACTGCTGCCACTCTCCTAGACGCGCGTCTGTGTGTGTGTGTGTACGCATCTGCGACTTGAGGCCCTCCTTGTCTGGCCTCCCTTCCCCTGAGACCCACCATGTCTCCCTCTGCCGCCGATGCCCCGCTCGAGGAGGGCCAGTCCCGCGGGCTGATGCTTTTCTCAGGCAAGATCAGCGACTTCGGTGAGTACCCGGCCGAGGCGGTGATCAGCCTGCGAGACCAGGTCTGCCAGGAATTCGCCGAAAACACCTTCGCCCTGAAGACGGCCGAGCTCTTTGAGGGCGGGTGCGCGGCGGCCGACAACTGCCTCTTCGCCACATACTGCCCGTCCACCTTCTTCGTGACGCACCAAGTCCATACGCCAGAGGGCGGCCGGTTTTTGATCCACGCATCGGCGCGCGGCTTTCTTGTGGTGCGCAGCCATGCGAATTTCTCTCTGCTGCTTTTTCTTTCTCCCTCTCTCTCTCTCTCTGTTGCCCCGCTGCCCCTCTCCCCCGCTGCCTGCCAGCCTCCGAAGGCGCCCCTGGCTGTGGGCTGCCAGGATCCTCTTTCTGACGTTGCCCCCTTCGCCCTCGCTGGCCCGGCTTTTCCCCGGCCCGGCTTGCCCTGCCCGGTGTCCGACGCAGCACTCCTTCCCCGGGACCGAGTCGCCGGTCAGCTGTGAATGCTTCCCGGCGGCGGTTTTGGCCGCCACCTCCGAGGAGCTGGACTTCCACGAGACCCTGGTGGCCGCGCTCGGGGCGGCGAGCCCCGGCTTTTCGGATCGGTGGATGGACCAGCTGAATCGGCTCCTGGCCGCCGAAGACGCGGCCTTCGCCGAGAGGTATCCCGATCTGTCGTGAGGCCGCTTGGTGGCTCCCACGAAAGTGGCCAATACAAAGAGGAAAATGCAAGACACCCGGCCGGCGCTGCCTCGAGATCCCACCCTCCTCCGAGCATCTTGGTGGGATTTGCCCAGGGGTGGGGGGGGGGGCTCCCCAAGCGTCAGGTCAATGTAAATATGGTATTCGGCGCCGGCGCCAGGGGAAAACAGAGGAAGCAAGATGCAGCGGGGAGGGGAGGGGACTGCCGCATGTCAAGACGACACGACTTCGGGAGGCGGCGGTGGCGGGGCCATGAACATGGGCGACACTGCTGCCGATGGCCGAGCAGCCTCGGTGGGCGGCGCGGGCGAAGTGGCCGCCGGCGCCTCGGCATCAGGAGCCGGCCCCGGGACCGGCGGCGGCATGACCACCGGCATGGCCGTCTCCGAGGTGGCTGGTGATGGGCTGGGGATTGGGGCTCCGGGCTCGGGGGCTGGCGGAGGGTTCGACTCGACAGGCACCCCAGCCGGCGGGGGGCTGGAGCGCACGCCTCGTCCCTGTTCGAAGGCCGCCCGGGAGGCCTGGTAGGATGGGCCCATGGGGCCGGCGTCGGTGTCATCGGCGTCGGTATCGGCCGGGATCCGGTGAAGCGTGCCGCTGGCGATATCGCAGCCAAGCTTGCCCGTGCCGCCCCAATCCTTGCGAATGTTGATGACCACCGATCGGAATGCCCGGCGAGCGGAGGAATAAATGATCAGCCGCAAGACCGCCCCATCGCGCAGGGAGGCGATGAGCTCGGACAGTGATCGGTCATCGCGGAGCAGGACATCGGGCGAGGACACGATGAAGTCGGTATCGGCCTCCAGGCCGGCTGCGTGGGCCGGCGACCCGGGCTCCACCGACAGCACGCGCCAGGTGGGCAGTCCGGAGGGGGAAGGGCGGCAGAAGCGAATTCGCGCGCCCAGCAAGCCGGTGCCTCCCCAATTGTTGCTGGGGACAATCGAAACGCCTGGGCCATGGGAGGGTGTTTGTTTCCCATGATGATGATGATGATGATCATCATCATCATTTCCCGCCCGGCCCTTGGTGGTCAGCGAGGGGAGCCGCGTCACATGGGCGATCAAATGAATGGCCGGGGGGAGGGGGACGCACTTCGGATTTCGCAGTTCCGGGTATTGAAGATGAGCAGCTCAACCGGCTGGTGGAGGTGCTTCCGCAGCTGGGTGACCAGCTCATTCTCCGGCTGGGGCGTGTGGATCTGCGAGGTGGTGGTTAGGTGTGAATGGGGCGCGACCTCGAGCGGGGGGGGGGGGGGGGGGGGGCGAGGGGGGACGTTTGGCATCTGTACCAGGTCCACCGAGGCAATGCCAACAATGTAATCGAACAGCGGCTCCAATAGAGCTTCGCTGGCCGGCGAGTCCGGCTGGATCTACATGTGGGCATGCGTGCGTGCGTGTGTGTGTGTGTGTGCGCGCGCATGAGTCGCACAATGGCAGGGGTGTTAGCACGTATCGCGAGGCGGCGAGGCGACGAGGCGCGGCAAGGGACAGCGCAGAAGCGGCAGCCAATCCGAGGAGCCGACGCACCCCGAGAACATGGAAGCCACCGGTGAAAGCCGGCTTCGAGATTCCGGTGCCCATACTGGTGACGGGGAGGCAGGGAAGGGAGGAAGCAGCTGGCGGGACAGATGGCGGGGGGATAGCGAGGCCAGGGGGAGGGGGGGGGGGGCAGGGCGGGGGCAGGGCGGGAGCAATCGCGTTTGGAGGGAGGGTGCCCAGCATGGCCGATGCCCGCGGCCCGTCGCTGGGCACGCCCTTCACCGTGTCCATGTCTTTGGCGTGGTGGTGGAGGCTCGATCGGCCCAAGTCGGATCGGCGGGGCCGCTGGCGCAGGGCGGCGGCCGCGAGCTAACAATCAATGTCGCCACCGGGGGCAATCACGCCCGGCCGCCTGCCCGCGCCCTGCTCGTCTCCGACCTGAAAAGCGATCGCGCCAAAGTGTCAGCTCGCGCGCCAGAACCATCTTCTGCAGTGGCGCGTGATCCGAGACCAGCATGATCTGAACAAGGGTGCCAATGTACCCAGGGCGGCCGCTGCCCACGCACCGGGCCGAAGTGGCCGGTGATGCGCCCGTGGTCCGCGAGCTCTTCCGGGCGGACGGGGAACCGGCGGGAGCGTCCACACGCGCGCAGGCAGGTTGCACCACATCTACTACCTTCCCATGCTGTCTAGGCGCCGGCTGCTGCTCGTCCCCAGGGGGAGGGGGGGGGGCGCCTCTCTTCGACCTGGGAGCCCCTCTCCAGGGAGGGGGGGGGGAACGGTTTTTCTGTGTCCCCGCCCTGGGGACACTGCTTCCGTGGGCCGCATTCCCCGCCGCCTCTACCCTCTCCCTCGCCCCTGTTCCCCCTCTTCTCCCTCCCTGGCGCTTGTTGGCGCTTCTTCCTCCACCCCTCGACCACCACCACCACCCCTCCCCTTTGTGTTCCCCTGTCCCCTGCTCCCCACCGGCTGTCGCCCCCCCCCCCCCCCCCCCCAGAGCATGGCGCCCAACCTGGCGACCCCGGTCTTCGGGGAGGTCCTCGACTCCTTCACCGACCGTCAGTTCGAGATCATCCTCCCGTGCGCGTCGAACCATGTTCAGGTGCGCGCACGCGCGTGTGTCAATGCCCCCAGGCGGTTCTGTGGGTCCATTTCGCTTGTGCCACTCACTCACGCCCCCCCCCGGGCTCCCTCCCCCGCCCCCCTTGCCCCCCCCCCCCCCCCCCCCCCCTCTCTCCCCCCCCTTCCCCCCTCCGTCCCCCCTCCCCCCCCCCTCTCACTCCCCTTCCCGCCCGCCCCTACTCACGCCTCCCCCCCCCCCCCCCCCCCCCCCCCCCCCCCCCCCCCCCCCCCCCCCCCCCCGCGCTGTCGCCTGCCCCCTCGGCCTTGCCACTTTGGGCGTCCACAGCCTGTGTCCGACGAGGTGGTGGTCTTCCCGACCACCGGGTCGGCCCACCCGCTGACGGAGGATGCCACGCTGCTGCTTTGCGGCCAGGACCGGCGCCTCCGCCTGCAACTGCAAATCCGCCCCCGGCCGGCGCTCGAAGAGGCCGTCTCAGCCTCGACCGATGCCCAGGGGCCGCACCATGCGCCGGACGCCGTGGTCGCCGAGGAGGTGATTGTCTTCACCTTCGAGCAGCCCCTGGTCCCGGACCCGGCGGTGTTCTTTGTGCCGAGCACCAGTGCCGGGGTGAATGCCGGTCCCCTTGGTCGCCTTTTTGCCCTGGTCCTGACGGCCAACGGGTCGCTCTTCCGCCTGGTCCTGGATTTGGTGATGGTGGAGGGCGCCGGCCTGCGCCTGGTCCCGCCGCCTGCCCCGCAGGGCGCCTTCCAGCCCTGGGTGGATACAGTGCACTTTGTGTCCGGGCCGCTGCTGGGCGAGAGCTCCGTCGGCCTTCGTCCCGGGGTTTCGCTGCTGGCCGCCGTGTCGCCCTCGGACGCGGTGGTGGCTCTGGCATGCGGGTCCCTGCGCACGGCCATCATCTCCGAATGCGGCACCAAAGTGGCCCTGCATCCGGTGGATATTGTGCGCATGCGCGCGCCTCCGCGCCTTCCCTGCTTTCCCGACTGCCCTTCACCCTGTCGCACATCACAGCGGCGGCCCTCTCCTGCCTTGTGGCTCTCGTCCAACCTTCCGAGATTTCCTCACTCACCCTCACCCTCGCCCTCTCTCTCTCTCTCTCTCACACACACACACACACAGGAGTCCTTCGAGACGGGATTGTCTCTGAAGTCCTTCTTCCGGCGCTTTGTGTCGCCCGTGCAAGAGGCTGTCCCCTTTGTGGCCATTCGCATTGTGTACCATGTACGCCCCCCCCCCCCCCCCCCCCGATTTTCCTCCCCGTCCAGGGCCTCCTGCTGTCATTTGGCCTGTCCCCAAGTCCAACACGCTCGCCGGGTCATCCACTCACTCGAGCCCCCCTCCCACGCATGACCAGCCCACCCTGCGCGATGTCTTCCTCTTTTCCCTGTCCGCCGGTGGCGTGGTCCAGCTCTGGTCGGTGGCCACGCAGAAGTGCCTGGACACGCACAGCCTCCTGCCGCTCGTCCGCCAGTCCCATGCCCATACGCCCCAGCAGACACAGTCCCCGGTGGGCAATCTCCTGGACCAGCCCTTCTCTTCGGACAGCCTGCAGATTGTCTCCATGTACGCCACCTCCCTCCCACATGCTTGGGTCCTCTTTCCGCCTCCTTCTTCTCCCCCGGTTGAGGCTCCCATTCCTAATCTTCCCTGCCACACTCTCTCCTGTCCCCCTCCCCCCCTTCCCCGGCCAGTCTTCCCTTGACCCCGGCGACGGCGTCCACCCTGACTGGCTTGGGCAGTGGCGATCTGTCGGACACCGAGGAATCGCCCGCGGATGCCATCACCGCCGAGGAGGCCGCCGACATGGACTCCCTCGGCAGCGATGACGAGGAGATCTTCCACCAGCAGCTGCTCGTCCGGGCAATGGTTTACATCTCGGACAAATCTGGTCCCTTCTTCGCGGAGTTGCACTATCGCATTTCCGAGTGCGTTCATGGCTGCCCATCGCGCTCGCTGCATCAGGCCCCCGGGACCTGCCTTTTCTTCCGCCCTTTCCTCCCTCTGCCCCCTCTGGCCCTTTGTTGGTGTGCTTGCATTCATGTCTGACCCGTGGCCCTGCCGCCACATCTCCTGGCGGCTGCACGCACCCCTTCCCCCCCCCCCCCCCCCCCCCCCCCCCCCCCCCCCCCCCCCCCCCCCCCCCCCCCCCCCCCCCCCCCCCCCCCCCCCCCCTCTCACTCTCTCCCCTCCCCCCCCCCCCCGTCCCCGTGCCCCCGCCCCCCCGCAAATGTAGCGACCATATTGAGCGCATCAACATGCCACGCCTGCCGGCCCCGACGGGTGTGCAGCGCTTCACCATCGACACCGAGCACGTGTGGGCCCTCGCGCGCACCCCGGACACCATGCTCACCGTGGGCGACACCCCGGCGGCCCTTTCGGCGGCTGGTGCCCGGTATGAGTCGGTTTTGCTGGCGCGCTGTCCGCTGCCGATGGATCGTGAATCCATCGAGCAGGCCCCCTCCGGGCCGCTGCTTCCCGGGGCTTGGGAGGTGGTCAGCTTGCTGCCGGCCCTGGAGACCGGGCTGCTGACGCCGGTCCTCCAGCAGTTTGCCTTCTTCGAGCGCCTGGCCGCCGCCGGGCTGGGCTTCCCCCTGGACCCGGAGGTCATCAGCGCGGTGGGCACGCGGTTCCTGGCCACGCCGGGGCTCTTTTCCATGGCCGTTGTTTGCCAGGCGGTGCAGATGTTCTCGCAGGCGCCGCTGCGGTGTGCCGATGCCGAGGTGCTGGGCCTGTGCGCCGGGCGCATCCTGACCGTCGCGGGGCAGAAGGCCCGCGAGCTGGGCACCTCGTTGGAGTCAGCGGTCTTGGCCTCCTGGCGGCACTTCTTGGACCTGCTTCTGGAGGCATACCAGCGCAGCCTGACCCCGGTGGCCGTGTGCAGCCTGACCGATGCCCCGGTGCCCGGGGGCCAGGGGCCTCTGGTGGTCCTCCTGCGCCACCAGGCTCTCTCCGAGATCCGGCCCCTCGGGCAGGTTGATCTCTTTGGGGCCTTCGTGGCCGCGCCCTTCCCCCAGATGGCAGAGCAGCTGGTGGCCCAGGCCGGTGGGGACATCGGGCCGTGGGCAGCATTCGCCCGCCTGGCCCGCGCGGCGTATGGCACCGTGCTGACTGGCACAGGGCTGCTGCCGCTGTGGGTGGCCCTCGACCGGGCGCTGTGCCGGCTATCATCGACCGGCCCCGGGGCCGGGGCCTCTGATGCTGCCCCGGCCATCGGCTGGGCGTCCGTGCTGGACGCGCTGGCCGGGGCTCCGGGTGGTCAGGAGGCGGCGACTCTCCTGGCCGCGGAGGAGGCTCCTCTTGGGCCGGCTGGCATCTCGGCCCGGGCCATCATCTACGATGCGCCCTTTGCCCAGATCCCCGGCAGCTTCATCTTGACCTCGGTGGTGGAGCTGGCTCGCAGCCTGGCATCGGTCGTGGCCGCCGGGTCCGTCAGCTACTCGGCCGTGCTGAATGGCGTGGAGCTTCTCCTGGGGGCCATCCGCCAGGAGGCTCAGCAGCGTGCCTGGACGCCCAATCGCCTGGCCCGGGCGGTGGCCAGCCGGCGCTTCCTGCTGACGCATGCGGCCCTGGCGCTGGTGCTCTTCCGCCGGTCGGCCAACACCACTCCCACCGGGCCGGAGGAGTCGCGCACCGCCGCTGCCTTTGCCACTATCGTGGACTTGTTTTCGGCCGTGCGCCTGACGGATTTCCTGCTGCTGGATGTACGCGTGCTGCCTTTTCGTCCTTTTTCGCCCTCTCGCCTGTTTGGCGCCTCTCGCTTTCGTTTGAAGCTCACCCTCTTGCTCTCTCCCCCCCCTCTCTCTCTCTCTCTCTCCCTCTCTGTCTCTCTGTCTCTCTCCCGCACACACACGCGCGCGCCCCGCCCGCCATGCGCACCGCGACCGCCCCTGCCTTGCTCCCTTTCGTCGCACCTCGTGTCTCCAGCCCGCTCGCTCGGCCACGCACCCGCTGGTTCTGTCCGGCAATCTGTTCGCCGAATGCCGGCTCCGGGCATTGTCCTGCCTGGAGGGCATTTTCGCCCTGCTGGATGTCGCCCCGAGCGCGGTGCTCCAGCTGGCCGGGCTGACAACCACTCGGTCGGCTGGAATCCTGCGTGCCGTGGCCAAGGCCCAGATTCAGCTGGCCATCGGCGCCGGCCAGGCGCTGACCCTGGCCAGCCGCCCGGGCCGGGACTTGGTGTCGCTGATCCTGAAGGCGGCCCCGGTGCCGACGGCCGGTGCCTCGCCGGAAGCCCTCTATGCCCATATCAACCACTTCTTCGACTTGCTGAACATGGCACACTCGCTGGAGCTGGTCGAGCACCTGGCTCAGACGGTGCTGGAACTGTACCTGGGCCCGACCGAGACCAAGAGCACTGACTCCGGCACCGGGTCCGACTTTTCGGTTCCCAGCGACGTGGCGGTGGCCATCTTCCACTTCTCGGTGCTGATGCAACTCTTCACCAGCCGCCTGCAGCTGGGTCGCTTCACCGAGGCCTTTGACACGCTGCTGCGCCTGAGCGCCCTGCGCCTGCCGCATGCGGTCCTGTCGTCCGAGCCGTCATCCCTCTTCTCGCGCCAGGCCGGCGGTGGGACGCTCATCTTCGGCCCCTTCCTGGACCAGGCCCGGCACACTGTCCGTGGCTCTGCCCTGGAGCTGAGCTGCATGGAGCGCTTTGTGTCGACGGTTTGCGAGGCCGGGCAGGCTCGGCTGCTGGCCGAGCTCCCGGTGGACTCGGTCCGTGCGGCCCTCGAGCGGACTCTCGAGCATAAGGCCCACAATTCGCCGGTGTGCATCCCGGTGGCCCTGGTGGCCGAGCTCGGGGCCGCGTGCGAGGCCGACCTGAAGCATGGGTCGCGCCTGCTGGCGGGCGCCGCCGAGGCTGCCCCCGCCGCCGAGGCCGATCCCACGACCGCCGGGCCGATTGAGGTCTTCTCCACCGGCGTCTGCTATCACAAGATCCTGTCCTCGCTGTATGTCAGCAATCGGGCCCACCGGGCCGCCGCGCGGATCCTTTACATCTATGCCTCCCGGGTGCTGGCTCTTGGGGCCGGCGCGCAGCAGTCGCGCGTGTCGCCGATCGCCGCTCGCGGGCTCCTGCAGCTGGTGGCCGACGCCCTGGCAATGTCGGCTTCGCTGCTGTCGTTGCTTCCCCGGGCGGAGGCTTTCTTCTACCTGCGCGATGCGTCGATCATGCCGCGCTCGGTTGGCGGCCCGGCGGCCGCCACCGGCCCGGTCACCGCCTCCCCCTTGGCGGTCGGCCAGGACGCCGCCGGCTCGTCGGTCCTGGCCTCGGTCCGGACGCTGGCGCAGGTTCAGCGCGAGACGGCCGCGGCCCAGGCCCGGCTCTCGCTGCTGCTGCACCTGACAACAGGCACGGGCCCGGCGTCCGGCCGGCTGGACGATCCCCAGGAGGCGGTGGCTGCCTGCCTGGGCGGGGCATTTGCCCTTGCTCCCGGGGCTGGGCTCTTTGCCTTGCCTGTGGGCCCGGTGCAGGGGCTGCTCCGGCAGCACATTGAGCAGTCCCTGGCGGGGCTGGTGGCCGCCGGCCATGCTGACCGTGCCTTCACTCTGGCTACGCAATCCGGTGCCGGGCAGTTTGGCCCGGTCTTCCTGCGGCTGCTGACGCGTGTCTACCTGACCCTTTTGTGCCAGCCGGCCGGGTCCCGGGCCCCGGGGGCCGATGAGGCCTGGAAGCGCCTGACCAACTACCTGGCGGTGTTGTCCGATGCCATGCCGGAGGCGGCCGATGCCACTGGTGGCGGTGCCGGCACCGAGCTCGAGCTCTATGACGCGGTGCTGGACGAGTGGCTTGCCCAGTCCCGGGGGCTTCCCCTTCCCGGGTGGCTGGTGCAGCCGTACCAGGCTGACGAGCGGAAGCTCGGCACCCTGGTGGCCGCTCTCGGCCGTGCCGGACGCCATGCCGAGTCTCTTCAGGTGGCCAGCCAGGCCCGCGCTGGCCTGTCCCGCAGCAAGCGCCTCCGGACGGAACTCGCGGCGTCCTCCCCCTCGGCCGACGCCGGGTTCTTCTACTCGGCGCCGGTTTGAGCGGCGGCAGGCTGGCGGCAATCACCTCCCCGGCTCTGCGCCGCCGGGCCTGTCTGCGAACTCCTCCGGTGCTGGTGCTGCTGCTGTTGTCGGGGGAAGCCTTTGTCCGCGCACAACAAGCCAGCACGCATATACGGTGCCTTTTGGCGAGGTGCTTTTGCGGCGTTCCCCCGCTCGATGTAGGCCCTTGTCCTTTTCTTTTGTCTCCTCCCTACTTTGACCTTGCTATCGAAAATACACGCCGGCCATGTGAACAGACCCCGCGTCTGATTTGGTTGGCCTTTCGTGTGGATATGCGCATCGTGGGACTCGCATGATTTGTTATTATATATTTGCAAAGACGAGGGGGGGGGGAGAGCGAAAGTAGGGCATACACGAGTCGCAAGAGAGGAAGAGAGGGGGGCAAGGGGAGGGGGAGGGGGAGAGAGAGCGAGAGCGACGCATAGAGCGTCGAATGCCTGCCACTTCCATCTCGCCTGGTCGCCAGATGGCACGAAGGCGAGCACACAGATGCCGGCGTTGGCAAAGGGACAGAGAGCATGCCCAGGCGCGGCACAGCAGCATAAGGGAGAAATGGAGAGGGCAAAAGGAAGCCAGAGGAGGAGAGGGGGGAGGGGGGGGGGGACTATGGCAAAGGAGGACACATGTGCCCTTAGAAGCCCTCGTCCTCGCGGATGGGCATGGCGTTGCCATGCTCGACCAGGTCCTCGCCATGATCCAGGGCCTCGAGATCAGCGTCCTCAAAGACCTCATCCAGGTCGTCCAGGAACTCCGCAGCGTTGGCTGAGGTGACCGTGCCGACCGGACCGCTCGTGGTGGTAATACCGTCACGGTTGACCTTGCGCCGGCGACGGGTGGCAGCGGTGGCATGCTCGCCGATCTACACATGCGGGGGTGAGAGGGAGCAAGAGGGAAAAGGAGAAACCAAGAAAGAGAGAGAGGCAGAGAGAGAGAGGCAGAGAGAGAGGCAGAGAGAGAGAGAGGGAGAGAGAGAGAGAGAGAGGGGGGGGAGGGAGGCAGAGTGGGTGAGTGAGACAAAGAGAAAGACAGGCGTGAGCGAGACAAAGAGAAAGACAGGCGTGAGCGAGACAAAGAGAAAGACAGGCGTGAGCGAGACAAAGAGAAA